ATGTAAATTATCGCGCGTCAGCGTAATTGTCGACGGTGATTGAAATACGTATATGTAAATACGGCCGAGTCAACATATATATATATATATATATACACATGTATGTAATAATATATAATTAATTATAAAAAGTTGCGAAATATATAGGGCGGGGCTATTTTGTTACTTTCAATTTTAAACTCATATGAAAGTTTACGACGATAAGTAACATTTCTTTGCAGTAATGTATTTAAAATTACATTATACAATCATGATTGCTCCTTAAAAGCACAGCACAACCTTCAAATATTCCATTCAAACACATATATACATTACAACAAGAAATGAACGAGAAAGCTCCGCTCTATCTTATATAATATATGTATTATTCTATATATAATACATACTTAATAATAACTGCATCTTTGTTACTTCAATAAAAAAAACAACAAGAAGATCATCTCAATCAATTCCAGGAGAAGATAGCACATCGATCACAGATATCGATACCGAAATTATAATACGCGCACAAACAACGTCGTTTAATACATTACGTCGAACGTCTAACGCCGCGAAAAATATTCCGAATACTCGCGATTGTTTTCTTCTGATCAACTATAGCAAGATATATTTCTGCGTACCAACGTTTCGTCAAAAATACTGAGCAATGAGTAAACGCTCCTATCAGATGCAACGCGATTCCGTAATTAGTCTCGAATTCAAATTCTGTCAGAGCATCATGGCGATTCTTCAAGCCGAAACGATACGCGACGTTTAATAAAACTGCGATATTGGCGCACACCGCAATTGGCGATTGACGAAGTATATTATGACGATATATTGCATACATGACAAACGGCCGAACGGCGATTCGCGATTGTTTATTCCGCGCGATATTCATTTTTATATAGAAATAATCGCGAGAAATGTGAACAAACCGACCGACTCAAATGTATTTCCATACATTTATTACTACACGTTTGGCAACTGACTGGGAGCGCGCCGCGACATTTCAAATCTATCGATGTAGCGACATGGATGAACTAGCGCCATCTGCACACGAGAGATATAACCTCATCAGCATACCTACCATACCTACGAATACTTATTACATTCAAAATCTTATATTATTGCACAGATGTCTCTGCTATGCTGATGATTCTCAAAAATCACTAGATGTAATGATAAAATACCGCAAACTTTCTGTCATTTTGACGCAAAGACGCGACCTAAATTTATGTATTTGTTTAAACGTTTAAATTTTGTGAGGAAGAATAAAAACGTGAATTATATAAATTAATTTTTTTTTTATAATCTCTCTCTCAGTTAATTTAGGAATAAAGATATGTTATGAATAAAGGTATGTAAAGATAAAAAAGTATGTTACAAATGCTTAATTTATGTGTATTCTTAGTCTATTATACGGGTTTATTTGTCGTTGAAGTTTCAATACGTGAAAGTGTATGAAAATACATGTAAGCGGGGTACATACAGTTCAAAATAAAATTAATTTATATTATAGTAATCATTGAATGGGAAAAAATAAATTTTATGAAAGGTAAATGTTTACTTCGATAAAAAATTGCATAGAAAATTTTGTACAGATGAAGATAGCTGCACTTAATGTGGATCACGGTAAAAAATTTTTTATGCATGAATATATATTAATATATATAAACATACATAAACACGGATAAAATTTCATAAACATGTATAGTTATATATGAAATACATCCATACATTCTTTTTTCTTTTGTAAAATTATTTTTTAATGTAATTGAAATAATAATTAATTAGAAAAAATAAAATTTGAAAGAATGTAAAAAAATCATTCATGTATAATTATATATAAAATTACGCATAATTATGTATGAACAGTTTCTTTACATTTTTCTAAACTTGTGGAAAATACTAATTGGCCAAATACTTACAATTTTCCATTGCGATGCTGTTTAATGTGCTACGTTTATTTTTATAAATCATTTTATACGTTCCTCCTCTTACTCTTTATATAAACGTCTGATTTATTTGCATTATTAAGACGATTATAGATAGATTCCCCGTCGATTGTTACCTTGAGGTGTAACGATATGAAAATTAATTTTAAAATAAG